ATCAAGCACATAGATCACAGTTTGTAATTAACATCATATAGTAACCAAGAGACTTTGAATCACTGGTAAACCAAGTAGCAATAATCCAATACAATGTTTGAGACCAAATGAAAGTGCAGAATTGAAGCGACAATTATTGTAGATGCTACGTACAGATCAGAGGTTCAGTTTTACACATTCAATTACCAAATACAATCGGTATAACCAACCTCCAAAATCATTAATCTAAACTCTAAGACCTAAAGAAGATAAAGTAATGTAAAAGAGGGTAAATTAGATGCGAAATACCCCCCCTGATGTGAGGCTCCAAGATCTAGCCAGGCTCACTGCCTTAGAGTACCGAAGGAATTAGCCACAGAAGAGCTCCCATATCTATTGCGCTTAGCATCAACAAAAGTTAGGCCATGGGGAAAACAAGCTGCAGTACGAAATTGAGTAAGAGAGATGATGATGGGAGTCAGATGAATGTGGGTCCTAGTAAGTCAGATCCACATGAGAGCAAGTTAAGATGAAGAACCGCAATTTTCCACAATCTCCATTTCTCGCCTTCGGATCCGACGTCCAGCCATAGAAACGACGCCGTTTTGCTGAAAATTGATCCGCTTCTTTCATCCAAACGCGGCGTTTTTACTATCAATTGACATGGCTGTGTTTTCCATTAGCTTCCATTGCATCTTTCTCTACAATACTCTACACAGAATGAAATTCTCAAAGATAAGATCATCATATAAAAATAGGGAATCAATTAATTCAAAGCTTATTCCATACACCTTTTTTTTGTGGCCAAAATGCCGTGTTAACACTCAATTATCCACAATATAAATTATTTAAGCTCTCAAACCCATCAAAATATGATATGAAAATATATAAATTATATGGATTTGTTGCATTTGTTATACTTTTGATGGTATGAGCAACATTTACAATGAGATTCACAACTTTTTTAATGTTATTTACAACAATTTTTTCACAATTTCAACACCCCGCAAAATTTGAGCAAAAGGGTCCTGTTATAAATCGTTTACTAGACCTACTGACTTTCACCACTTCATTAACACTATTTACAACAATAATTTCAACACTTAGAAAAATCCAATGCCAACAATTTCATCTTCACAATTCAATATGAAGAGCATGCAAATCCTGAGTTGGATACGCTTGTAAGCAAGGAACAAAAAACCGGACCGGGTATTAAACCGGTCAAAACAGTGGGTCAAAGGTCAATGGGTCAGATCGGGGTTAGACCGGGTTAAACCGGTAATAATTAAATTAAGTAAAAATATATATATTTTAGTTATAAAAAATAATATTTATTGAATGGCTACTCATATTACAAAATAATTTTTTAGGATATTACAAAATATTTATGTATACAATTTTTTTTATTTTTTTCTCTTTCTCCTCTTTTTCCGACCCAATACAATCTTCTTTTATTTATTTATTTATTATTTTATACTTTTATCTCTTTCTTTTCTCTCTCTCACGTGAATACTTAGACTTTTTCTTCTCCATAACACATCACGAGGTGACCATTTTATGCCTCTCTCCTCCTTGAATGGCAGATTCAAATTTCTATCTTGAAAGGTGAAAAACTTCTTCTCTTTCTCATTCAATTTCGTTCCTCCGGTCCTCCTTCTTCGTTTCTTTCTTTTTCAAACAACAGAGGTGGTAAACAGTAACCATTGTTTCTCCTCTGCACATTTGTTCTATTTTATCTTCCTCCTTGTCTTCCACTTTTCATTCCACTCTTCCACGAGCACGTGTTCGAAGCGGCACAAAAGAGACGTTCAAATGGGTCTTTCTTTCTATGATTTTTTCTGCTTTTACCATTTCTCTCAACAGTATCCATGTCTTCTCCGGCGAGACGGTAAGAGTAAAAAAGAAGTAGGGGGAAAAAAAAAAGAAAACTGGCGACCCACCAACCCAACGGTTTTCCCGGTTTTTGCCGATTTTTTCCAGTTCGTTCCGGTTCATTCCGGTTTTATTTGAAGCCGGTTTTTTCTTCAAACTAGATCGGACTGGAGGCTGGTTCACTGGTTTTTCGGTTGAACCATCTGGTCCGGTCCGGTTTTTTTTTTCATTGCTTGTAAGTAACATAGACCATTCTATTAATACTAGACTTTGATTTTGATACTACTTTAAATTATTCATATATATTACTCCTCCATTCTTTAATGTAAGACATATTTAACTAATTTAATTAGATTACGAATGTTAGGTAAGTTAGTTAATTATAATAAATATGATATATTTTTCCTAAAACACTATAATCATTTTTCTTAATATCCTCCCCCTTCTCCTATTTGATTATGGTTGAATGAATATCAATAAAGACAATTTAGCAAAAATTGATTAATATGAGAAATAATTCTGATATTTAGGACTAAGGTCAACTCAATAATTAGATCTTATATTAAGGATCAGAAAGCATATTAAGATTTTTTTATTTTAATAGTACAAAATCTAAAAAATAATTTTTAAGTCTCATTTCTTTCACATATGTATATTAAAATATTATTTAAACTGTTCCAAATTAATTTGAAAAATACTCGCAATAATAACAGCACCGACACACGAACAAGGAAACTAACTGTGTCTATTGGATGAATAGTGCCGCACTTGCCTTTTGGCCCCCAGTTGCAAATTTGCAATTGATGACTTTAACTTTTCATAAAGAATAAACTAAGAAAAAAAATAGCGGACATATAAACGTGCTTTACAAATTAAAAAGAACACAAATAATTGAATCAGAATTGTGCATGCCCTTAATCACCTGAATGGGATAACCATGACATGAAAAGTTATAATAGACGGTCAAAGAAGGACAATGTTTGTAGAATAATTTAATAAAAATTACTATTTTTTTACTCTGAAAAATTTTAGGAGCCTAAATGTTTTCATGCATAAGAAACATTTTGACTTTTATAACACAGGCAAATAATCAAAGCTTAACTATAACAAAAAGTTTATGGGCATTGCAAATCTATCACTATGAGCAGAATTTAATATAAAAAAACAATCTCGCGTTCTTAACGTTATACATCTTTTTTTTTTTTAATTGACGTTGCACTTAATTAAATAATCAACAAGTCACTTTCATCCGTACCCCCCACTTGCTGATTCATATAGCGACAATTATTAGATATATGCGCTTATTTACGGCATGTGTGAAAACAATTCCGCGGCAAATATCAAAATAATTTAGGGAGAATTACCAAAATATCTTTAACAAAATTAATTACCGAAAAGTCCCAGTGATAAATGATCAGTATGAACCTGTTGTGATTCTTTGTTCTGAAACTTGATATTGCTTACTCTCTACTTGGCAATGGAACTTAGGGTAATTAAATCCTATTCTTAAGACCTGATTGTAATTCTCCCAATAATTTATATCATTGATGAGAGGTGGATCTACTTTTGTTGAACTGTTGTTTAATAGAATATGCTTTATTTTGTAAAACTTTCAAAAGGGGATGACTCCCATTTAAGACGACTAAATAGAAAATGTCATTTTAATGAGATCCCAAATTGAAAACAATAGTTGTTTATATGAGGTATAATGTATATTAAATAGGGATAAAGTTGAAAAGTCATTGAATTTTAAATGAGATTTAATGAAATTTAAGGTTTTTCTTGGTCTGTGTAAAACATGCTGGAAGTGCCTTATAAATAGGACTAGAGAAGTATTAGTTATAAATTAATATCGAATAAGTTAAGCTAGGGAAAGTTATGATCAAATTTCTACAAGGGACTAAACCATTGAAAAATGAAATTCACAATATTCATTATAACTAGCAAAATATGAGTTGAAAATTAAAGCACAGAAAGTCTTGCATCAAAGAAAAATTATTTCACAACTAGAAATATCATCAAACATCATTGATAACACAACTTCAAAACCAAAAAGTTACGCCTTTACATGTCATTTACGCTTTTTACTCCAAACGTATGCAAAAAGTTTTGATAAAATGAACTGAAAATAAATATGCCACAGACCCACTTCTTATGTATATTTTGAATCACTAAAGAAATTTTAATTTTATAGAACTTTTTTTAGTGTAGTGATAATGGTTGGGGTCGTACGAGAAAGTAATATTTTAGGTATTGCAAATCAATCGCTACGATACGAGCCAAATTCAATAGAAAATGAATCCAACGTTGTTAATGTTATACATCTTTTAATTAAAGTTGCATTTAATTAACCAAATAAGTCACTTTCATTTACTTACCCACTTATTGATTTATGTAATTAAAGTGATTAAATGTGCTCATATTTACGGCATGTTTAAAAAGATTTCTGTAGCAAATATAAAATGATTAGTACCTAATATAAATAGGGAGCAATGGCTTTCAATAACCACAGAACATCAAAAGAAGCAAAAAAGAAGGAAGTAGTAAAGTGAGTTGTAAGCTTTTTGCTTTTTCTCAAACCAAGCCAATGGCTCTCCGTCAATTCACCTTCTCAAACACTACTCCTCTCTTAAAAAACAAGATCGTTCCATCACTATCAACAGTAAAGAGCCCTTGTGTTCCTTGTTCAATCCAGTGCAAGGCTTCTTCCATTATCACTTCTGATCAGAACAGTACTTCTCGTCGATCTGCAAATTACTACCAACCTTCAATTTGGAGCCACGATTATATCCAGTCGTTAAAAAGTGCTTTTGGGGTAAGATTTATTTTATAATACTCAATTATTTTTTATGGCTCTTCATAATATTATTTCCTTGTTTTATGGGTATTATTACATACACAGGTCTTGCAAATTTTATAACTCGTTAACAATGAGAAATATGAACTTTTTACAGGAAAAATCACATGCGGAAGAAACTGATCGGCTGAAAGAAGAAGTAAGAATAATGCTCTTGAAGTTGGAAAATCCTATGGATCAACTTGAGCTTATTGATATCTTGCAAAGACTTGGAGTGGATCATCATTTTGGCCTTGAAATAAGCAACATCATAGAAAGTGTTTACAAAAGAAAGGACACATTAAAAAGGAACAACAATTTATATGTCACGGCTCTTGAATTCAGAATCTTGAGACAACATGGCTATGATGTGTCATCAGGTATTTGTTTGATCCTCAAATTACTAAGTTGTGTTGAGAATATACTTGTTTTTACATACCATTAAACATTGTGTTATTTGAATGTGTGTCTCCAGAGGTATTTAAAGGATTTCTAGATGATAACGGCAACTTCCCTTCTGGCCTTTCGGTTGATATAAAGGGGATGCTTGCATTGTATGAAGCCTCATTTCTTTCAATGGAAGGTGAAATAATACTTGATGAAGCTAGAAATTTAAGCTCAACTTATCTCAAGGAGTTTATCCATCAAAACAAGGAAGAAAATGAGACATCCCTCTTGGTTAACCATGCACTAGAGCTTCCACTACATTGGAGGGTATCAAGATTGGAAGCTCGATGGTTCGGCGATGTTTATGAAAGAAGGCAAAAAATGAACCCTCCTTTGGTTAAGCTTGCTAAATTGGATTTCAACATTTTAGAAGCCAAATACCAAGAAGACTTGAAAAATACATCAAGGTATATATATGTATGAAAATAATCATGCTTTTTCAAACATAGATCAAGGTTTATTCTTTGGTTTTTGATATATTGGAGGGAAATTCGGTTTTTATTTCTGTTTCATCTCAAACATATCTCTCCTTATGTTATTGTAAATGAAGAACTTTATTAAGGAATTTTAATGAGTTTTCAATGTATAGATGGTGGAAAAGGATTGGACTTGGAGAAAAGTTGAGCTTTTCAAGGGACAGAATGGTGGAAAACTTCGTGTGGACAGTGGCATTTGCTGAGGAACCACACTTTGAATATTATAGAACAGTTGCAACAAAGGTTAATGCACTGATAACTACAATCGATGATGTTTATGATGTCTATGGTGACCTAGAAGAGTTAGAAATATTCACACGAGTTGTTGACAGGTTAGCACTTTGATTATTATTACCTCCTGTTCTAAATATAAGAGCTAATTTGCAGTATAAATTGCACTACAAACTATCTTATATATCTAAAACCCGAGCTAGTACCTTTTTATTAGATACTTACACATTAATTTCTCTCATTGTAAATTGTAATTGTCTTAACATGTGCATCAATATTTTGTAGATGGGATATCAATGCCATCGATTCTCTTCCAGAGTACATGAAAATATGCTTCCTTGCACTTTATAATTTTATCAATGAAGTGGCTTTTGACATCCTTAAGGAGAATGGACACAACATAATTCCACACCTGAGGAAAGTGGTATGCCTTGATTCAATTCATTAGACTTCACTAGTCGTAACGATTATATTCTCTTATTTCAAATGTTAATTATATTTTGCTTACTTCTTTTTCAGTGGGCTGATCTTTGTAAATCATACTTGGTTGAGGCAAAATGGTTACGTAATGGGTATCAACCAAGCCTGCAGGAGTACTTAGAAAATGCTTGGATTTCAATTGGTGCACCTGTCATACTTGTGCACGCTTTCGTTGTACTTCCTAGCACAAGCTCTTCAGACTCAGTTTGCTTAGAAGACTATTATGACCTTATTTATTCTTCATCAATCATTTTACGCCTTACCAATGACCTTGGAACATCTAAGGTATCATGAAAGTCTCCTTTCAATTATTTAATTAACTCTTTCAGAATTTCATGAAGTATGATATTAATTCTTTTACCACATTGTATAACTGTTTTGTAGCGTGAAAAGGACACAGGTGATATAGCTAAATCGGTTGAGTGCTACATGAAGGAAACCGGGGCTTCTGAAGCTGATGCTCAAAGGCATATAAACTCATTGGTGTATGAAACATGGAAGAAGATGAATAAAGAAGCTACCAATTGTCCAGACTTCAAGAGTTTCATTGAAGTTGCTTTGAACGTTGGAAGGATGTCACTATGCATGTACCAGCATGGAGATGCCCATAGCATTCAAGACCTTGTGACTAAGAATAGTATTATGTCGTTACTTTTCCAGCCTATTGTTTTATGAACTTGCTTTGATCCACCGGCCTACCCTTACAAGTGGGGCACAAATAAAAATAAGAACAAACATGGGTAAGTATGGAATTTCTAATTTTTATTGTCATTTATTGCATTTGGAAGTTGTCATTACAAATTGCTCTATTGTTATATATAGTAATTGTTGTAGATGGAAACTGTGAGACTAGCCATAGACTAACAGATACTCAATCTTGTATGCTTGATAAACCTTTTACATGCAGTCAAATAAAAACAAATAGATTCTGAAACAGGGTTTGCTATCTTATAAATATTAAATAAAATATCAGAAAACCCACATGCCTATCCTGTGATAGATATCATTGGATTATTTTGAAAATTAAAGTTCACATATTCTAATTTGGTCGGATAAAAGTGTATTTTTTGTAAGTCATAAAATCAAAAACTACAATTAAAAAGAGCTACAGAAATAAACAAACGAAGAAAAACAAATACAATCATGTAATTAATTAGGAATCTGGTTGTCGCCTTGAGGACTCATCGCTGGATGCACATGAGTAGAGTTGGTTTGCAAAATATTATGCTTCGTCTTCATGTAAATCCAAAACCGCCGAAATTCTAATATGGCAGCCACACAACCTAAGAAAACTATTTTGCGATCGATTCACTTGCTGTATCTGTCAATTTTTGGTAACTTGGCACCGTTGCCGGCTCAAGGCAATTGGTGGTTTGAATTAGAAACTCTTGATTTGTTTTAGATTAAGCATTTTCTTTAATTATTTTCTAGATGCTTTTTAGGTACCTAAGTATATGCCTGTCAAATGCAAAGCTACAAAGGCATCACAGAAGACCCTCTAGATTGGTTAGTAACAGTAGTCTGCACACCTAAAAGACGAAGCTCACCCAAGATGCAAATAATTGCACATTCAATTCCCAAATACAATCGGTATAACTAACCTCGAAAATCACTAATCAAACTCTACGACCTAAAAGAAGATAAAGTAATGTAAAAGAGGGCAAATTAGATCCAAACAAATATCAGTTTATCAAATTAACTTTCATAAAAGTCAATCTAGACACTAATTGACTTTTATTTTAACTTACGTTTGTAAAAATCAGATGGAATAAAAGTCAATTTTGTCACCACTAATTCAAACACACCTATTATGTTTTGCATCATGTTTGGGTATGAGTTATTTTGCCTAAAAAAGTCACTTTAATTTACAAGCTAATTTTTATGGCTTATACTATATTTTGCTTGTGCAAAAGCTGCTTTTCAAAATCAAAAGACATTTTTACCTTAGATTTATGTTCTCCTTATACTTCTCTTTGCATATTCAATGTACTTCCTAACCAATTTTTCGTTATTTATTTTTAATACTCTTTTAAATAAAAATAATTTTTAACAAAAAATTTATAGTATTTTTAATGTTATTTTTTATTTTATATTTATATAAATTGTGTAGAGTATATCATCCAATTAATTATGTAATATTATTTGGTTAAAAGAATTTCACATTACTATGATTTTTAATTTAAATATATTTTATTCATTAAATGTAACTCCTTCTAGTTATAATAATTTAAAATTATTATATTTTGTAAATTTATTTTTAATTATTTTTATTCTTTAATAAAAGTTATGCTTATTTTGGTCATTCTATAAACTAAACTTACTTATCTAATGATAATCTAAATAACTTTTCTACTTTACAAACTAATTTTTATAAAAATCAATTTAGACATAAATCACATTACCTACTCTACCCAAAGCCTGTTTGGCTCAACGATTCACGGGGTATAAGCTCCTTTTTCATAACTAGAAGCGCGTTTCAAGATTTTGTGCCGTTTGGATTGGCAGTAAGCAAATCTGACTTTTGTGTGAAAAAGCCACAATAAGCTATAAATAGAAATTAGCTATTTGTGGCTTGTAACTTATTACCTATGGCTTTTGAAACACAGAGAAAGAGAAAGTTCAGAAATTTACTATTTCTTCTAGTTCTTATTATAAGTCTCAAATATCTAATTTGCGAATAACGAAAAGGTAGTTAAAATTAGATAAAAATAATAAATAAGTTAGAAATATATTTTTGTTTTTAAATATGTCCTCGTAATAAATGATAAAAAATAAAAAAAATATATGAGATCAGCAAGAGATTACAAATAATTTAAAATTATTATATTATGTAAATTGATAATCTTTTTATTTTTTATTATTTAGTAAAAGTCATACATATTTTGGTAATTTTACAAACTAAGATTACTTATTCAATCATAATTCAAACAACTTCCCTTTACAAAGTAACTTATTTATAAAAGTCAATCTAAATATAATCACATTACCCAATTTAACTTTTACCCAATCTAACTTTTTCAAAAGTCAAATTAAAAATAAGTTACTTTTCCTATCGCCAATCCAAACAAGCCCCTATTATTCCATCTAACTTTTATAAAAGTGAGAATGAAAATAAGTTACTTTTTCTACTGTCAATCCAAACACAATCTAAATGAAAACAAGGTTGAAGAAGCAAGCAAGGCATCGGTGAATCTAGGTTGTTCTTTTTGACATTTGCTGAGCTAGTTTGGTAAATCTTTGCTTTATTTCATTTTAATTTTATTTCAGTCAGGCCAAAATTTCATTGTGTTTGATCAACTCGAATGAAAAGAGGAATTTTACCGCCTAGTCACTAGTTAACTAAGTTTTTTGTGGGATCAATTTTGATACACTATTAACTGCTTTGCGATCGATTCATTTCTCGCCTTCAGATCCATATCTATTGCGCTGAGCATCAACAAAAGTTCGGCCATGGAGGAAACAAGCCGGAGTGAAAAATTGAGTAAGAGAGATGATGATGGGAGCCGGATGAATATGGGTCCGGGTAGGTCAGGTCCACATGAGAGCAAATTAAGATGAAGAGCAGCTATTCTCCACAATCTTCATTCCTCGACTCAGATCCGCGTCCAGCCATAGAAACGACGCCGTTTTGTTAAAGATTGATCTGTTTCCTTCATCCAAACGCAGCGTTTTGACTGCCAATGGTCATGGCTGTGTTTTACAAACCTTTGATCCTTGAGTGCCATTCTTTTATGTGAGCTTCCAATGCATCTTTCTCCACAATACTCCACACAGAATGAAATTCTCAAAGTTTATTCCATACATCATGGCAATATTGACAATTAAACACCTTTTTTTAAAACCAAAATGGCCTTTACACTCAATCATCCACAATATAAATTATTTAAGCTATAAAAGTACATCAAACCGATCAAAACATGATATGAAAATATATAAATTATATGGATTTGTTGCATTCGTTATACCTTCGATGACATTAACAACATTTACAACGAGTTTCACCACTTCTTTAATGCTATTTACAACAATTTTTTTTTAACAGTGTTAACACTTGACAAAATTCGAGTAAAAGGGTCCTGCTATAAATCATTTACTACACCACTATTAACAACACTAATACAGAATTTCACCACTTCATTAACACTGTTTACAACAACAATTTCAACACTTAGAAAAATTCAATGCCAACAATTTCATCTTCACAACTGAATATGAAGAGTATGCAAATCCTGAGTTGGATATGCTTATAAGTAATATAGACCATTCCATTAATACTAGACTTTGATTTTAATATTACTTTAATTTATTCATATACCATTCCATTAATACTAGACTTTGATTTTAATATTATTTAATTTATTCATATGTATTACGATCTTTAATATAAAACCATTTAACTAGTTCGTCTAAGAAAAAACTTATTTAACTAATTTGATAAGATTAAAAAATTAGGTAATTTAATTAATTACGATAAATATGATATGTTTTTTCTAAAACAGCATAATCATCTCCCTTAATATCGTTCCTCTCTCTCTTATTTGATTATAGTTGAGAGAGTATCAATAAGAATAATGTAAAAAAATTAATAAATATAAAAAATAGGTCTTATATTTAGTATTAAGGTCAATTCAATAATTAGGTCTTATACGAAAGAGTATATTAAGACTTTTTATTTTAATAAATACAAAATCTAAAAAATAATTTTTAAATTTCATTTCTTTCATATATATATATTAGAATATTAAATTTAAACTGTTCCAAATTAATTTGAAAAATACTCGCAACCGTGAAGATGACCATATAGTAACAGCACCGACGCATCACCAAGGAAACAAACTGTGTCTGTTGGATGAATAGTACTGCACTTGCCTTTTTGCCCCCAGCTGCAAATTTGCAATTGATGACTTCACCTTTTCATAAAGAATAAACTAAGAAAAAAATAGTGGCCATATAAACGTGTGCTTTATAAATTAAAAAGAACACAAACAGTTGAATCAGAACTGTGCATGCCCTTAATCACCTGAATGGGATAATCATCACATGAAAAGTTATGATAGATGGTCAAAGAAGGACAATGTTTGTAGAATAATTTAATAAAAATTACTATTTTTTTACTCTGAAAAATTTTAGGAGCCTAAATGTTTTCATGCATAAGAAACTTTTTGACTTCTATAACACAGGCAAATAATCAAAGCTTAACTATAACAAAAAGTTTATGGGCATTGCAAATCTATCATTATGAGCAGAATTTAATATAAAAAACAATCTAACGTTATTAACGTTATACATATTTTTTTTCATTAACGTTGCGCTTAATTAAGTAATCAATAAGTCACTTTCACACGTACCCCCACTTGCTGATTTATCTAGTGATAATCATTAGATATATGTCGGAAAACAATCCAGTAGGAAATATCAAAATACTATGTCCAATCCTTAATATAAAAGATAATTGACTAATTTAAATAGAATAAAAAAATTTGTTAAATTAGTTATTTATAAGAAATAGGTGTTGATTTCTCTAAAATACCTTTATTAATCATGTGAATTCGTTAGAACTATAATTTAGTAAAGTATTTAATATGTGTAACTATTATACGGAGTAATTTGGGAAAAAATGGATGATATGAGAGATAAAGCAAATTAAAACCTTATATTTAGAATCAAATTAAATATCAAACTAATTTTTATATTAAAAACTGGAGAGAGTAATTTATGTTTAGTTTAGATTTCTATATGATATAAGGCGGAGCTACTTTCCAGGTGAACTGTTTGAGTATGCTTTTGTCACACTTTCAAGAGGGGATGGATTCCATTTAAGACTAAATTGAAAATGTCATTTTAATAAGACCCCACATTGAAACAAGGATTACTTTAATAAGGATTTCAGATCAAGACAAGATTTACCAAGAAACTTTTTTATTGAAATATCATCATTTTGCGTCATTAGATTTTAAAAAGAGATTATTAATTATAAATTAATGCCCAATAAGTTACAAATTAGGGGAAATTATTAACAAATTTCTAGAAGGGACTAAACCTTTGAAAAATGAAATTCACAGTATTCATTACGAGGAGAAAAATATAAGTTGAAAATTAATGCATAGAAAGTCTTGCATCAAAGAATTATTGTTTCACAACTTCAAACATCATTAAACATCATTGATAACAACTTCAAAAACCAAAAAATTACACCTTTAGATGTCATTTACACTCTTTTACTCCAGATGTATGCAAAAAGTTTTGATGAAATCAAATGAAAATAAATATGCCACCAGACGCACTTCTTATTATGCATATTTTCAATCACTGAAGAAATTTTAATTTTATAGATTTTTTAATGTAGTGATAATGATCCGGGTGTTACGAGGAATTAATATTTTATGTATTGCAAATCAATCACTACGAGCCAAATTTAATATTAAAAGAATCTAACGTTGTTAACGTTATACATCTTTTAATTAACGTTGCACTTAAATAACCAAATAAGTCACTTTCATATACTTACCACTTACCCACTTGTTGATGTATGTAGTTAAAGTGAATAAATGTGCGCATATTTATGGCATGTCTAAAAGGATTTCTGTAGCAAATATAAAAACTATTTATCCCTAATATAAATAGAGAGCAATGACTCCCCCTACCACAGAACATCGCAGAAAGCAAAAGGAAGGAAGAATTAAGTGAGTTATAAGCTTTTTGGTCCCTCTCAAACCACCCTAATGGCTCTCCGTCAATTCACCATACTTTCAAACACTACTCTCTTCAAAAACAACATCGTTCCATCACTCTCAACAATAAGTGTTCCTTCTTCAATCCAATGCAAAGCTTCTTCGATGATCACTTCTGATCAAAACAATGCTTCTCATCGATTGGCAAATTACTACCAACCTTCAATTTGGAGCCACGATTATATCCAGTCATTAACAAGTGATTTTGTGGTAAGATTTATTTTATTTTATAATATTCATATTCACTTGGCTCTTCGTAATATTATTTCCTTGTTTTATGGGTATTATATGTATATGGGTAATATAAATTTTCTAACTCGTTAATAATGAGCAAATGTGAAATTTTTATAGGAAAAATCATATACAGAAGAAAGTGATAGGCTGAAAGAAGAAGTAACAGTAATGCTCTTGAAATTGGAAAATCCTATGGATCAGCTTGAGCTTATTGATATATTGCAACGACTTGGAGTGGATCGTCATTTTGGCCCTCAAATAAGCAACATCTTAGAAAGTATTTACAAGAACAAGGACCAATTAAACATGAACACCAATTTATATGTCACGGCTCTTGAATTCAGACTCTTGAGACAACATGGCTATGATGTGTCATCAGGTACTTGTTTGATCCTCACTTTACCAAGTTTTATTAAGAACATATTTGTCTTTTTAGTGCCATTGAAGATTGTTTTATTTGCATGGTTGTCTGCAGATGTGTTTAAAGGATTTCTTGATGATAAGGGCAACTTTCATTCTAGCCTTTCAGTTGACATCAAGGGGATCCTTTCATTGTATGAAGCCTCATTTCTTTCAATGGAAGGTGAAATGATACTGGATGAAGCTAGAGATTTTAGCTCAACTTATCTCAAACAATTTGTCCATCAAAACAAGGAAGAAAATGAGACATCGCTCTTGATTAACCATGCCCTGGAGCTTCCTCTACATTGGAGGATATCAAGATTGGAAGCTCGTTGGTTCATCGATGTTTATGAAAGAAGACAGAATATCAGCCGTGCTTTGCTTAAGCTTGCAAAACTGGATTTCAACATTTTACAAGCCAAATACCATGAAGATTTGAAACATACATCAAGGTATATATACGTATGTATGAAAATAATCATGGTTTTTCAAACTCGGAATCTTTAAATATTTTTTTAGTTTTCTTACGACTCTTTTTTCCTTGGTTTTCAATATACTAGAGGGAAAATTCATTTAAAGTATTTTGTTTTGCATCTCAACATACTTCTCGTTGTGGTATATTTTTGTTGTAAAATAAAATATTTATTAAGGAAATTTCTCTGGTTTTTAATGTGAAGATGGTGGAAAAGAATTGGACTTGGAGAAAAATTGAGCTTTTCAAGAGATAGAATGGTGGAGAACTTCATTTGGACAGTGGCATTTGCTGAGGAACCACAGTTTGAATATTACAGAACAGTGGCAACAAAAGTTAATGCACTGATAACTACAATCGATGATGTTTATGATGTCTATGGAGAATTAGAAGAATTAGAAATATTCACACGAGTCATTGACAGGTTAGAACTTTGATGATTATCTTTTTATCATATATATACTTTAGTTTCTCTCTTTGAAATTGTCTTAACATGTTGATTAACATTTTGTAGATGGGACATTAATGCCATCGATTCTCTTCCAGAGTACATGAAAATATGCTTCCTTGCACTTTATAATTTTGTTAATGAAGTGGCTTTTGACATCCTTAAAGGGAATGGACGCAACATCATTCCACACCTGAAGAAAGTGGTATGCTTTAATTCAATTCATTGAACTTAACTAATTGTACGTAGTGATTATATTTTCTTATTTCAAATGTTAACTATATTTTCCTTATTTTTTTTCAGTGGGCTGATCTTTGTAAATCATACTTGGTTGAGGCAAAATGGTTACGTAATGGGTATCAACCAAGCCTGCAGGAGTACTTAGAAAATGCTTGGATTTCAATTGGTGCACCTGTCATACTTGTTCACGCTTTTGTTGTACTTTCTAACACAAGCTTTTCAGACTCAGTCTGCTTAGAAGACTATTATGACCTTATTTATTCTTCATCAATCATTTTACGCCTTACCAATGACCTTGGAACATCTAAGGTATCATGAAAATCTCCTTTCAATTATTTAAGTAACAATTTCAGAATTTCATGAAGTATGATATTAATTGTTTTATCACATTGTATTACTGTTTTTGTAGCGTGAAAAGGAAACAGGTGATATAGCTAAATCAGTTGAGTGCTACATGAATGAAACTGGGGCTTCTGAAGCTGATGCTCAAAGGCATATAAACTCATTGATATATGAAACATGGAAGAAGATGAATAAAGAAGCTACCAACTGTCCAGACTTCAAGAGTTTCATTGAAGTTGCTTTGAACGTTGGAAGAATGTCACTATGCATGTACCAGCATGGAGATGCCCATAGCATTCAAGACCTTGTGACTAAGAACAGTATTATGTCGTTACTTTTCCAGCCTATTATCGTATGAACTTGCTCTGATTCACCGAGTGAAAAAAGTGCACCGGTCTACCCTTGATAAACAGACCCAAACCATTATAAGTGGGGCACACATATAAATAAGAAAAAGCATAGATAAGTATGCTATTTCTATTTTTTATTGTCATTTACTGCATTGGAAGTTGTCATTACAAGTTGCTCCATTATTATAGCAATTGCTGTGTATGGAGGTGAGGCGTGAGAATATGAATTGCATTTTATCTCAGATTAATAATACTCAATCTTATATGCTAGATAACCTTTTATGCAATCAAGTAAAAACAAATAGATTCTGAAAAAGGGTTTGCTATCTTATAAATATTAAATAATATATTAAAAAAAACCCACATGCCTATCTTGTCATACATATCATTGGATTATTTTCAAAATTAAAGTTCGCATATTCTAATTTAATTAGGTAAAAGTATATTTTTTATAAGCCACAAGATCAAGAACTATAATTAAAAAGAGCTACCGAAATAATCAAACGAAGAAAAACAAATATGATAATTTAATTAATTAGGAAGCTTCTGTTCCAGAAGCCTGCTTCTTGTTCCTTAGGAAGCCTAAGGGCCCGTTTGGCATGCTAGAATTAGTTTTGATGGAAATGAAAAGGGAGATGGTATGGATATAAATATATATATATATATATATGTAAATGGGGTTTAAAAGGGTGTTTGGTATGTCAGGGAAATGAGATATAATTTTTTATTAAAATGAGTACCTTTTGTACTTAAAAACTATACTGCCCTTGATATATTTTTCAATCTAAAGGACCTAACAGTGCAACAACCCACCCCAACTTCAACCCCAGCCACTAATGCCGCCACATTCCACTGTTAGCCACCACAGTCAGTTGAGAACCAGATTTGAAAATAAGATGGAACAAAAAATGCCAATATTCGAATGGAAGAAGAAGTTGAAAGGCGCCTCTATATTCCTTCCTTTTGCATCAGAAGCAAAAGGCTTCTAAGACCACATAATCTGTAGAATTTATTGAATTGAATATGCAAAAACGGAACAAAATATCCGCTTCTTAATATGCAAATCTTCGTGAAACACTTGATGGTCATCTTCGCCGGCAAGTAGTTAGATGCAAATTGAAAGCAGGAAGATTTAAGACATTGAACGAAAAAGTCGAAGGCTTTAACAAGTTTTCAATCCTGGATTGTGCAGATCTAGAAAGTTGAGCCACCAGATTGAGGGCATCAAGTGCGAGGGAAGGAGATGAGGGTGGCGGGAGACAAGATTAAAGCCACTGGATTGTTAACCATCATCATCGCAGAAGCTTGAAGGGCAGAAAGTAGCAACTGGCCGCCGTTGCCATTGCCAAAGCTGGCCACCGCCATTATCTCTCTCTAACACAAAGATATGTAAAAATACTTTATTTTGTCATAAAAAATCATATTAATTAAAAAAAGTATTGTTTAAATATGATATTTTTAATAAAAAACTTAAAATAATAATAAAAAGTTAAAATAGACAGCAGCAAGAAAAAATGTTGACACTGAAAGGTGCTTTATTCAGTGGCGACATGTTGAGTTGCCACTAATAACTGCAGCCGTTAAAAGTCCTTTTCAACGGCGACATTATGAGTCGCCGCTAAAACTCTCACTTTTGAAAATTGACCTTTAGTGGTGATTCTAAAAAGTTGATGCTGAAAGTATACTTTTAGCAGTTACCGGTAAAAGTCATAGCTGAAAATCTTTTTTTTTTTTGGGTAATTTTGAATTATTTTGTTTGATTGGATTAAGCTTGAGAAAATTAATTAAATCATAGAACTTGGGTAAAAGTATGCCAGATTGGAAGTTTACCTATTAAATGGGTGGTTTGTTGACAAATCCTTACTTTATATGTATTTTCATGATTCATTTTATGAGTTTTAGGATATTTTTATGGCTTAAATCATGATTATTTGGCTTAATTGAGTGCTTATGACATTTTAGGAATTATGTGTTTAATTGCTGTTAATTGATAATAATTATGTGATTTTTAATTCCTAAATATTTGTGTCCTTGGAATTATATGATTTTACATTTAGTTGAATTATTTTTCAGCTGACAATTAGGAACTTGGGCAAGCTAAATCACTTTGTGTTAGAGAGGAAAAGAGTTTCTAAGAGAACCTAAATTTCATGGATTTTCTATTCTTTAAAGATTTCAATTCCTTTCCACGTTGCCTACACTTGTTCCCAAACGCTCTTTTAGCTAACCCTAAACCTATCTCATATTTACCCTAACCAAACAAAGAAAGAGGGGTCCAGTGTGAGAAGTGAAGTAGTCTTCGATCATTCTTCATACCCCTTATTCTCGGCAATTCCTTCACTCCCATCAGTTCAAACTATCATTTCCCATCTCCATTCAAATCCATCATCACCATTGACTTCATTTTCTCCTTCTTCTCGGCGCAACAGAACCAATGAGACCAGAGGACGTACGATAGAGGCAGGCACACCACCCACACTTACGCGGCACTCGCCACAGCTCAAGACCATCATCATCGTCATCTTCTTGCTGGTGGCAGCGAAGAGTTCGATGCAATTTGCTGCTATCCGCCATATTTTTTCAATATCCTCCACTGTTCACTATCATCTTAAACGTTATTCCATGTCTGAACCGAATTGGAGCTTGGTTGGAGCTGTGGTGATGGTTAGGTGTAGCTAAATCCTTCAGTCCTCTATAGTAGTGTTTATGGCTTGAACTGGGAGCTTCAAAGGATAGTTTCAACTCTTCCAATCTTTACTTCTTTCATTGTATTTGTGATTCGTAGGTCTTAGGATGAATTTTACAATGCTTGGATATGCTGTGATGATTTATATTTGTATTAAGATTGGTTGTAGTTGTTGGGATATTTAATTAGCATTTGACATTATGCTGTAATTAGCTTTATTTTTTTTTTACATTGTACTTGGTCAAACTATGTTTTGAAATTATTATGAATATTCAATGGTAATTCAAGTTGGCTTGATTATTGGACTAAAAATGTCAATTGCTTTTCTTTAATTTTTTTTAGCTAATTGTGCTAAAACAGTTTAATTGTGAGTGATTAATATGTAAGGTGGCTTGGTGTTGATTATTCTAATTAAAACAAGTTTAAAAGGGTGGCCCTTGAAGTCTTTTGAATTTAGCTAACTCCCAAATTAATTGAAGTAATGATAGCCTAAATGATTGTGTTAGAGGATTACTATTCCATTTGTTATCATTTGTTAATTCTCTTTGTTTATTCCATCCATATCCATTTTATAAACTAAAAATCCAAAAAATTACTTACCCATTTTGCATCCTTTTAAATTTTGCCAATTAGTTAGTTAAAAAGAAAATCAATCCCTTTCCAAGTCAATTTTCTATCTTTTGAATACTTAGTTATTTAGGATCTTCTTAGAGGCTCCCTAAAGTGAATACGGCCCAAATTGTGTATCGTATTGTACTAATTCGGTTATTTTTGAAGTGGACCTAAGGTCACTAACAGTTCGTTCTTCATTTGTTATTGATATAATAGAGATATATCCATTGACGTAGCAATTTCCACAAAAAGTTTTGGTTTTAAAAGTGTAATCTTTTTAACTAAAGTAAGAGATTGTGAAAGTTTATTAAGATCGTAAGATTTGCTTTTGACTTGAGAAAGCTTAATCAACATTTTGTGAACCTTAGACTAACATACTTTGTCATCTTTTTAACTAAAGCAAGAGATTGTGAAAGTTTATTAAGATCGTACGGTTTGCTTTCCTTAATCAACATTTTATAAACCTTAGACTAACATACTTTTCATTAAAACACTGAATGAAAAGTTTTAATGAAGTTTTATGAAGTCCAATAATGATAAATAATTCCAGATCTTTATTTGTGAAGTCAAGTTTCCAAGCTCGCTTTTAATCTTTGTTTTCAAAGCATTTTCTTTACACAATTTCATTTTCAAAATGGTTTTACTTAACCAAATCAAGAACACACTTATGATTCTCAACTTGGCTGACTTTGAACTCTGAGGGAATAATACTTTTATACTACTTGCGACCCATGCACTTAAAGTTTGCGGTGGATGGTGTACACTACCTCGGCTCTACAAAAGTAAACAATCCTCATCAGCAAGTTTATTGTGTTTAACAACTACTCACCAAATTTCATCTATAAATAGAAATACATTTGCAACGGAGTAACCACTCACGATGAAAACAGAAGTGTCGAAACTCAAATTCGTAAATTCTAGCACCTAACGCTCTATTATTCTCTCATCATATATTTCACTATTTTGGATAAATTACTTCACTGAGAGAAGTTCACTAGCAGTGATCATTAATTTTTTGAGAGTAATTGAAGGAAGTAGGTCCTTGAGGGAACTGGTTGATTGTCACGTTACCTTACATGTTGTAAAGGGGAGTGGTCTATGAATAGTTGTAAAAAGTTGTCAAGTACCTATGTAAACATAAAAGAGTTGTAAAGGTTCCCAAGTATCCATATTAAACTTGAGGGATTAATGGATTTGAAAATCTTAGGAGGTTCCCATGAATTAGGTGCAGGGCACTATGGATTGCGCTAAACTATGTGCATTATCTTCTTAACTCTTATTCCTAAATTCAGGTCAACCCTTGTGATATACTTTCTAAACTCTTCTCTTTTATTATTCTGTTTGATATATATTAAATTCTGCACATTTTTTGGTGATATAAATTCCGTACTTTTTGTACACTTCCAATTCACCCTTCTCTTGGGTGTGTGCCTTGTACTAACACTTGTTCCTTGGGTCAATTTGTCCATTTTTTGAAACATCCTACATAATTAAAGCACTGACGAACTCAATTATTTTTATATATTTTGATATCTTTTCTATGGATTTTGTTAACTTAATTAGTCCTTTTGGCATTAATTGATTGTTAATTGATTTAATATGTTTTATTTTGAATTATTATTTTATAGGGGCAAAATTGTCATATTTTGGTTTAATTATGACTAATTGATTTTTAAAGACTATTAATACACCTTATTTTTGAATTTTTGATTGCAGATTTTTGGAGAATTAAAAAACATAATGAAGAAAAGAAAAGAAAGAAAAAAAAAATATATAATAAAAAAATAATTAAAAAAAAAAGAGAGAGAGACAGAGACGTTTTGCTCCCTCCC